GAAGATACTAGTTTCCTGTTCCCCGTGCTTTCGTTTCCTGTCACAAATCAAATCCGTCATGTACTACCCAGAATGCATCGCTTCAGTTTTCCAATAAACAGTTTTAAAATTACTTTATTGATGCTTCTTTAATGAAAAATCTACAACAAACAAAAGAAAAAGACAAAGAAGCAGCCGAACTAGCAATCCTCAACAACTTTTTAAAGAAGCAGCCGAACTAGCAATCCTCAACAACTTTTTAATTTTTACACCAGGAGCTAAAGGTCTGTTTCACGAAGTCACATCCCCAGCAATCAGTGGTTGTGAAATGAGTTGTAAAAGAGTTCATTCACCACTAGTGGGCAGCATTGTACATTTATTGTACATGAATTGTAGCCAACTAGAAGGTGTCAAATTGAACCTGTGGTTTAAAATTAGCTTCTGCTAATATTTCTTTTGTACAAGTGCTTTTGAATTTGTGGACCTATAAATATTTTTATAAGTGCTTTAGAAATTACGGAGCTAATTTTTGAATTAGCGCTGCCCACCTCTGTCTATGGGTAAAGCTTTAAGCCAAGACTAAAGTGTAGTTTTAGCTTTTGAACTAAAAGTTTACTAAAATGAGCAAAAGAAGACCATTAACAAAAGACAAAAACAATAAATATGTTTCAGTAGATCTCAAAAAACACTTTTCAGAATTTATGAGATCCTAATATTTTTAGTGGAAAATGTTAAAATATTTATTTTAAAACACAAATTTTATAAATAGTAAAGGTAATAATAATAATAATAGCACACTATTATAATATAATAGCACACTATTACGAATAGTGCCAAAGGTTTTGACTGAATAGTTAAAGGGGCAATATTATGTATTTTTTATGCATATATTTAAATTCTATACCACAATAAAGTAACTATGTCACCTTCAGATGGTATTAAAATGTTGTTTATATGTTTAAATTGAAAATAAACTTGACGTCTCATTATATCTGTTTCTAAACACCTTGAAATTATCCTCTGTCTCTTTAAGAACCTACTTCCGCTTCTGTCCCGCCCATTTCAGCATGGGGCTGGTGTGTTCTCTGTGATGAGGAAGCTCAGCTTGGAGACACAGCCCAGAGGAGGAGGAACTGGTCCTAAAAGGAGGTTCTAGTCTAGTGGTTTCTGCTCCCTGCCTGCTGCCTCAGGACACTTCAGGATGAATGAGTCAAAGTAAGACTCTGGGCATGTTTTTGATGAGAGGAGAACATTATAACATGATATAAAACTCAAAAAAGTTCATTTTACGTGATAAAGCCCCTTTAAAACAAAACAATAAAATTTTAGAAATACTTTGACTGCAAAAGAAAAAAGGATAAATTATAAAGAGATTTTTTCCCCTTCTAAGCTAGTTAACTCAGCCTTATAACCAAAAAATAAAAAGGAAGAAAACAGTGTTATTGCTGATTCAGCAGGGTCAGAAATTAGGGATGAGGATATGATTTGAGAGAAGGTGCTTACTTGTTGTCACAGTCGCAGTGAGACATGGTGAAGATGTTGCTGTTGAAAACACCAAACTTGGATTGAAAAGACAGAATGATGTGTTTGCACTGGTCATGCTCCCGGCAGCAGCTGTCAGTGTTAGAAAAAACCCCTGCAGGAGCACAAAATACAGAGAAGGCCTGAAACACACGACAAACTGACTGAATTTCTTTTAAATTCTTATTAAATTATCATAAGAAAGGCTATATGTGTGCTTGTTTACTTGCTTTGTTTTTAGCTGTATGTGTCCAAATTTGGCTGAAATATACTGTATCTCTTTCTCAAATTAGATTAAGCCTTTTGCTTAAAATTGAGATTTCAACGTCATGGGGATTGCCCTTTGCTACATTTCCAAATTTCAGCTTAATATTTAAAGGGTCAATGTGTGTTTGTCAGGCATATGGTTCAGTTCTATACCATAATAAAGGTCCAGTTGTTATGAAAATGCTGTATGTATGTATAAATCAAAAATAAATTTGACTTTGCATCATCACCGTTTCTAAACACCTTGAAATTGACTTCTGTCTCTTTAAGAAACTTCTATTGCTTCCGTCACGCCCATTTCTGCCCATCATCACAACAGCTTCATGCAGTCTAAAACCTGGAGCGTCGGAGCCTATTTTGTTGTCATAACAATTAAAAAAAGCAGCAACATTATACACAGTGATGGGCAGCGCTAATCCAAAAATTAGCTCCGCAATTTCTAAAGTGCTTATAAAAATATTTAGGTTTGCAACTTCAAAAGCGCTTATGCCATAGAAAAACTAGCAGAAGCTAATTTTAAAGCACAAGTTCAATTTGACACTTACTAGCTGTCAATTCATGTACAATAAATGTACAACACTGCCAACTAGTGGTATATGAACCCTTTTACAACTTAATTCTACAACTGCCGATTGCTGGGGATGTGATTTCCTGAAACAGACCTTTAGCTCCTGGTGTAAAAATTAAAAAGTTGTTGAGGATTGCTA